AGACGCGATAAAAAACGTGATATAATTTAAATTGTGGTACTCATGCTACGGGGCCTGATAAAGTGACCTTACATTGCCACACCGACAGCATATAGAAAATCCACAAGAATTACATATTTGAACAAGTCGTAACAACGGTACGCAAAATCATCCGAATCTTCGGTTATGGACGTTTAGAGTAGGGCGCCCCCGCCTCTAGTCAGTGTTCTAGTTGCTTTGCTTTTTTATAAACGGTGTAAAGCCGGATGTCGATTTTAATGGATACTTAATTGGGTCTTCCGTAAGATGCCTGGGCGATAAGAAATGTATTTTTACACCTTTTTTGTTTTATATTAACAAGAAGTATTATCTAAAACTCGTATATAAAATTCTCGTGTCGCGGTGTTTGTGGTTAAACTCCTCCGAAACGGCTTTCCCGATTCTCATGAAATTTCATGTGCATATTGGGTAGGTCTGAGAATCGGAGAACATCCATTTTTCATCCCCCTAAATGTAAAGGGTAATCCACCCCTATTTTTTTTTCAATTTTAGATATATTTTTTTTTAATTTTTTTATGATACATCATACACAAATACATACAACCCTAAATTTTCACCCTTCTACCACCCACCCCTATTTTTTTTATGGCGGTACGAAGTTCGCTGGGCAGCTAGTTTTAATATGAAATTGTGTTTTGTCATAGGTGGCAAATAACAATGTCACCCGTACCGTCTGATAGTTGTTTTTTGAGGGTGTATGCTGTTCGTCGCGAAGACTTTTACAGCGTCACCGGGTTTGGGAAAGGCGAGATCCTAAGGGGACCTCAAGCCGAGAATTGGCGAGTGCCTCTAGCTAGAGGTATTCCAGGCGAATGGCATCTCCCCACGGGGGGAGTCTCCTCTCCGCCTGGAGCTTCTAGACCACTCGAACCTGAGGGGGTCGGCTCAACTAGAGGGCGTCTCTGAGACTCGGACCTCGGCTCTAGTTAGCCGTTGTCGCGGGGGGCGGGAAAAAACGCCCTGGTACGTACCTGTACCTGGTATAGCGTGTCGTGTGTAGACCGGGTCTTCGCACTCTTATCTTACGGGTGCGGTGTCTGCCTAATGCTAAGCTAGTGTGCACGTTTGCTAGCTGTGTAGTGTTGGTGTTTGTGGACTGTGTGGGAGGAATCGGAGGCGTGTCTGATGTTTGTTAGTGGCCACCATGCACCAAGTATAGCAAAGTCCTTCGATTATTATAGTGACTGCCATAAACTGTCTCTTCCTCTGTTAACATCTATAACCATATAAACAAAATCTTAAATATCTATCCTTTAACTTACCGGGAGTGCAAGCTCAAACTGATGGCATGGCTCAAGACCTTGGATTATGATGAAACTGAGACCCTTCTTAATCTTACTTCATTTATCCGCTAGGGATAAAAACAGCATTTGTACACACATACTTACGTATACTCGTCACACTCACGCTATTGCACACACACGAACACGCACACACACATACACACGCATACAGACACACTCTCAACCGCTTGTATAAATTCTAATTTCATTTTTTATAGTTATATTTTTTATTATTTTTAAAGCATGTAACTGCTTGATGTTTAAATCTAAAGAAAATATAACTAGAAAAAATTCCACGCGGACCAGGCAGCAGACGGGACTCGAACCCGCACCCTTCGCAATCCTGGCGAATGCACTGACCAATTATGCTACCGCGGCCCTCACGGACCGCGTCGAAATTCTTCTAGCCATTCTTAAGCTGCAAGGCAGCACCATCTCTTCGCATTATAGGCAACCCACAATGCATTCGCCCGGATTGCGAAGGGTGCGGGTTCGAGTCCCGTCTGCTGCCTGGTCCGCGTGGAATTTTTTCTAGTAATATTTTCTTTTAATTTTTTATGTTTTAAAAATCCAATGAATTAAAATTAACACCTTACCCATAAGATATGTTAATGATATTAACATACCTTCCATAGCGGAAGAGTGGTTCCTTCTGGTACAGGTGTTAAACACTTAACAGAAGGAACCCACCCTGGTTTGGTGTACAACAAATGTGGTAACGTAATAAACTTTTTTGATTTTTTTGAACATAAAGGTCAGCAGTCAGACGGAAATAAGGGTTGTACTCTATTTATATAGATTATTATTTTTATTCTTTAATGTTTGATAATAAACTTGGTGTTTGCCCGCTGCATTTGATAGAGGTTTAGCGTTTTACGAGCCTGCAATTAGAACGGTTGCTTTTGAATAAAAACTTTTTTGCGAATATAATTAACCTACAATAATACTGAAAAGCAGAAAATAATAAACACTTTTTATCTGTAGACAAATTTATATTTGGAGTCGGTGCCATGTCAATGTCAATGTAAAAATTTTGTAATGCAAAACTTGAACAGCAGCGCCACAACGGACGTAACGAAAACTATAACATTTCGGACTCGCAAACTATTCGAATTCGATATTGGTTTATGCTAGGAGTACTGAATTCCCATTAACTACTTTGGTTGGCATTCACTACGATGCATGGTAGAAAACCCGCCAAGTGCGAGTCGTATTCGCGCACGGTTCCGTACTAAAAACGGCAAAAAAGTCGCGTCTGTTGTATGGGACCCCCCCGTAAATTAATATTTTATTTTAATTTAATAATGTATTTTGCCAGTGAATATTTAACTAAATATTCTGTGAATATTTCGAGTGGCTACCTGTTGCCGTTATTTATATAGAGCAAAAAAAACACGTTTTCTGTATGGGAGCCCCCTTTAAATATTTATTTTAATCTATTTTTAGTATTTGTTGTTATAGCGGCAACAAAAATGCATTATCTGTGAAAAATTACTACTTACTGTCTGGCTATCACGATTCATGAGATACAGCATGGTGATGAGCAGACAGATGGACAGCGGAGTGCTAGTAATAGGATACCTTTTTTACTTTTTTTAAAACATACAGTCAAATTGAGAAGCTTTGTGAAGTCGGTTGAATAGCAATATGTGACGTCACACTAGGGGGGTACTTAAGACGTACGTGACGTACTTTATATAAGTAGTATCTAAGCTTAAAAATGATTCTCTCCTCCCCCCCCTCTCCCTCTCTCTCTTAGATTAGTTACGCCGTGTTTTGCTCATATCAATTAAAATGCTATATCTGTATTGCTATAGCGCTTATTCTTAGTTTATTGATAACTAGAGGGCTAGAGTATTTTCACCAGCTTATGAACGAAATCGAAAATCTAAACATTGAATGTTCACTAGAAAAAAATCCACGCGGACCAGGCAGCGGACGGGACTCGAACCCGCATCCTTCGCTATCCGGGCGAATGCACTGACCATTATGCTACCACGGCCCTATTAGCCGCGTCGAAATTTTCTTAGCCTTAAGCTGCAAGGCAGCGCCATCTCTTCGCATTGTAGGTAACCCACGGTGTTTCTAGTAAACTTTTCTTTAGATTTAAACATCTAACAGTTAAATGCTTAAAAAATAAATAAAATCATTGAATGTTCATTTATAAATTTAGTACCAAAAAATGCTAAACTAAAATATATTTATCATCACGTGCTATTTATTACTAATTTTATTATCACCACCCGAGATAACGGCGGCGCACGGTGGTATCATCGGTACACACGGCATGACAGCATTCATAAACAAATTCGAACATTACAGCGTCCACATTGATTGAACGAACGGGATCGAAGATTATAAAGATTTGGTAAAATTTTCACGAGTCTGGTAAAATAATAGGATATTTGACAAGTTTTAGAAAACGATCTCACGTTATTGACTATTGTTTATGGAGTCCGTAATAAGGATATTCATCATTCTGTTGCATATTTCAGTAAAAATAACCAAATCAAAACTCCATTTTCAAGTTGCCGCGAAAACGTTTTTCTGGACAATATGGCGTGTTACTAGTGTGTGACGTCACACGACTGATATTAAAACGTCAAACGATACAATGTAATGTCACTTTAACAGGAAGTTTACTTGCGTGTGACGTCATTTTAGGCTCCGCCAATCTCAAGCGTTTTAGGTCACGTGACAATAGATAAGAAAACTATTATCTTTTTCGTGGGTTTTTACTAAAATTATGAACATTTTTTTTGTAAAAATAGTAAAAACCCCTGCAAATATTGATTCTAAACACAGATGCTAACAATTGGCACTTTATTTTTAATACTGTTAAATACCCTATTGACATCGTCGTTGTCGTCAATGGCAATGTCAGTACAGAGGAGTCATTTGAACTATAAATCGCCTTTGCCATGCATGTAGGATTCCGAATATTTCTAGTGTCCTCTGAGAGGGCCTCCAGAACGACATTAATCGTCATTTGCTTAGAGAAATGATAGTGGGCAGTAGAGCAGATACAGAATGGCGGGCTCGCATACCGAAATGTTGCATAATGTGTGCGCGCGCGCACGCCACCCGTGCCGCTAGTAAACACTGTAATGACGCGACGAGGTGACTCACGCGACAGACCTACTATGTATGGCGTACTGCCGAGAAAATGAGGCCCAGGAAATAGCAAATGAAAGCAAGGACCTTATTCTTAGGTCACAACCATAGACGGAATATCCGACAGCAAAAAAAATAATTCTCTTCGTGATTCAAGCAATGGCTTGTAAACCTAAAAGAGTGGCTATTTTTTCTTTTCAAATTATACAGATACTTGGGCTGTTGTTTTCCCTGACCTCGTTCTATAAGCTGGTAGGGTAGGGTTCCGCGAAGACCTACTTATTGAATGAGTAAAAGGGATAAAAGTTTTAATTACTATTCAAGAACTTTGCACACGTGAATATTTTGATTTCACCACATGAATACCAAATCTAGAATCTTGTAATTTGACTGCAGTTTTCCAAGTAATTTCTAAGATCTTATGCTTAGCAGTAATTCAACTCTTTTATGTGGAAGGAAAACCCGCCGAAAAACCTACAATCGTTTTTAGGTTTTAGCCCGAATTGGGTTTACGCACACAATAATTCAACTTTAAATAAATGAGATAATGTTGTTTGTTCGCAGGCTACACGAAGAGATAGAGCACTTCTACATGTACATGTCGCCCACGGAGACTGAGCACCTGGTACGGTCCACAGTGGTGACCCGCATCCGCGGCGCGATCCTATCGCTGTGGCCTCAGGCGCGCGTCGAGGTGTTCGGATCCTTCCGCACCGGACTCTACCTGCCGACCAGCGACATCGACCTCGTCGTCATAGGTGAGTACCTCAGCTGACAGGACCCCGGTGCGGGCGATGCTATTGGGAAGCATTTGCGGCGCGATCCTGGCGCTGTGGCTGCAAGCACACGTCAAGGTATTCGGCTCCTTCCGCACCGGTCGCTGCCTGCCGACCAGCGACATGGACTTAGTCGACTTAGGTGAGGGGCTCAGCGGACAGTAGCCCAGTGCGGGCGATGCTGGTGCACAGCATCCTCGGCGCGATCCTATCGCTGTGGCCTCAGGCGCGCGTCGAGGTGTTCGGATCCTTCCGCACCGGACTCTACCTGCCGACCAGCGACATCGACCTCGTCGTCATAGGTGAGTACCACAGCTGACAGGACCCTGGTGCGGGCGATGCTATTGGGAAGCATTTGCGGCGCGATCCTGGCGCTGTGGCTGCAAGCACACGTCGAGGTGTTCGGATCCTTCCGCACCGGACTCTACCTGCCGACCAGCGACATCGACCTCGTCGTCAGAGGTGAGTACCTCAGCTAACAGGACCCCGGTGTGGGCGATGCTATTGGGAAGCATTTGCGGCGCGATGCTGGCACTGTGGCTGCAAGCACACGTCGAGGTGTTCGGATCCTTCCGCACCGGACTCTACCTGCCGACCAGCGACATCGACCTCGTCGTCATAGGTGAGCGCCTCAGCTGACAGGACCCCGGTGCGGGCGATGCTATTGGGAAGCATTTGCGGCGCGATCCTGGCGCTGTGGCCGCAAGCACACGTCGAGGTGTTCGGCTCCTTCCGCACCGGCCGCTACCTGCTGACCAGCGACATGGACCTAGTCGACATAGGTGAGGGGCTCAGCGGACAGTAGCCCGGTGCGGGCGATGCTGGTGACCCGCATCCGCGGCGCGATCCTATCGCTGTGGCCTCAGGCGCGCGTCGAGGTGTTCGGATCCTTCCGCACCGGACTCTACCTGCCGACCAGCGACATGGACCTAGTCGACATAGGTGAGGGGCTCAGCGGACAGTAGCCCGGTGCGGGCGATGCTGGTGACCCGCATCCGCGGCGCGATCCTATCGCTGTGGCCTCAGGCGCGCGTCGAGGTGTTCGGATCCTTCCGCACCGGACTCTACCTGCCGACCAGCGACATGGACCTAGTCGACATAGGTGAGGGGCTCAGCGGACAGTAGCCCGGTGCGGGCGATGCTGGTGACCCGCATCCGCGGCGCGATCCTATCGCTGTGGCCTCAGGCGCGCGTCGAGGTGTTCGGATCCTTCCGCACCGGACTCTACCTGCCGACCAGCGACATGGACCTAGTCGACATAGGTGAGGGGCTCAGCGGACAGTAGCCCGGTGCGGGCGATGCTGTTGCACAGCATCGGCGGCGCGATCCTGGCGCTGGTGCTGTGGCCGCAGTCGCGCGTCGAGTTATTCGGCTCGTATGATGATGTCTAACCCGAAATCATAACGGCAACATAAAATACCGGTTCATGGAGTACTTAACTTTACTACATCATTATCTTTGCCGGCAAGGCAAAATACATTGCACAGTATACATCTTCTCTAAATTGTCTTTTGCCAAATTAGCAAAAGGTTTTCAGATCTCTGTCATAACATAACAAAGTTTTGGAATCTTCGACGCTTCATCAACCTTTGCATGTAAGCCCTCGTTTTATGATTCATCTAATCCGATGCTAATCGAAATACTGCCGTTTGGAATGTGGACATTATTTGCGAAGGAGCTTTCACGTCTCATAGATTTCATCCACCAGTCTTCTCTCATCCGCTTTCTCATAGTCATAACTGGGCAAAGCATAGAAGCTTGTAGTCTAAGAGCCAGTGTTCCGCAGACTTACGGTATAGTAGCAAACTCTATATTAATGCTAGTTATACTAATTCATCTACCGTAGATCAAATGGGGGTTCACTTTTCCCATAGAGGGTTCCTTTAGGCGTGCCTAGAAGTCGAAAAACATGAAAATCGACTTTATAAACGTGATCGCAGCATGTCTGCCGTTGATATCTTAAAATATATTTTTTTTTCTATAGAAAAACTTAATGGCACACACTTGCTCCGGTTCCTACTTTATTTTATAAAATATCATAGTTTCCATAATTTCATAAAATGCGTTATTTTAGCAAAGCCAAAGATTATATATGTTATTTATATTATAATTATGAACATATATTTACAAAAACAGACACATAGGTCGGTTCTGACATGCGGGCAGGACCACACGATACTTTCCTAGTCGTGCTATTGAAGTTGCTTGATTTTGATTTTCTCACTCTTCATTTCACAGGGAACTCGTTTTTCAGCAAAGCTGTAATTTATGTTTGTTTTTTACATCATTATACATGTAAATATTTGATCTACGGCAGATGAATTAGTATAACTAGCATTAATATGGAGTTCGTTTCTTAGGTTTTCACGCACATCACTCATTAACAGACCTGAAAAGGCTGCGAAACGTCAATAAATAAATAAAGTTTTCGTGCATTAACCCGTAAAAACTAGTTTTATTTAATATGGAGTTTGCTATTATACCGTAAGTCTGCGGAACACTGGCTCTCAGTCTATTGTCTTTCACACGTTCGTATTTCAATAGCAATATAACTCAATATATTTACGAGGTTTGACTACCGGGAGTGAGTTGCTAGGCAAGATTAACGGCAGAGCTAAAATGCCAAGTTGTTTACCGAAATTGTGTAAGCAGGAATCCTGCTATGACAACTGGTTGTCAAGGTTGTGTGGCGCGCGCGCTTATCGCCTCGTCGCGCTATCACGCTGATTTAGTTCACTGGGCTGCGATTCGGCGCCCGCGACGGTTCGATGACCGGTTTTGTTCTGACACACGAATGTACGTACGTGCTTTTGTTTCTCGACAGAAAAAAAATCGCCGTGTTTCCTTTAAAAATAAAATTTGATACAATCTATATGATAATAATAATAAATAATAAGTGTTTCCAACACACACACACCAATTAGTCCAGCCCCAAAGTAAGCACTATAAGGCTTGTGTTATGGGATACTAGAGTAACGGATAGAATACATATACTGTACATAAATAAGTACATTTACATAGAAATACATTAACTTATTATTGAAAGGGAATTGGCTAATGCTAATGATTATGTAAAACAAAAAGTAAAGGGATATATTGTATTTCTTTTTTTAAGGTTTTTAGTTATAAATATCTTACTATTTTTTCTTTAGTTAAATAGTTAAATGTGCATACATATATATCCAAGGGATAAACACATTATATGAACTTCACCGAGCTAGTCTCTTTATTTAGTTTAGATTTTTACCATTTATAAAAATCTAGTAAAACCAAAACAAATTAGATGGGTAAAATCTTGAAACCATAATCTCCAAATGTATACAATTTATGATCATATTTACATGATTCGTTTGTTCACTTTTAACGGATGTCCTCATTACACGAAAGCGATCCTTCCACTTTAGATTCATTCACAGATTGTATTTGCGTTGCTTTTTTAATTAACATTCTATTGTCGGAACGAAAACTTCTGTAATCGGGAGATCGCGACCTTCATGATGTTGTAATTCTGTTACAGTGACGTAATATCTGATGCCATCGTGTTTATTCTATTGTCATGTACAGTTAAAATTGAAATCACTTGTTTAAATATGATAATGTTGCTCTGAATAGATGGGAAGTAGAGAAAAAAATATGTTAATAAGTGAGTCAGATCGTCTCTGCGTTTATGTCTGTAATTACTGACACAAATAATCAGTTTTCGCGCGAATAGCCTCCCAAGTTTCCTGTTTACTAAGATCGGTGTGTGAAATCAGTTACTGTGATACTATTATTATTTTTATTTTATAAGGTTATTTCATTACAGTTATTAAATAGACGATCGCTATCTAGTGCTTCATAATAGTTTGTAGCAGTATCACTATCTATCGTTTCTTTACACAACAATTGGTTCTATCCCAATTTGTTTAGCAGGTTTAGAACCATCATCATCAGCCTAATAGTGTCCCCACTGCTGAGGCACAGGCCTTTCCTATGGATGGAATAGGGAGATTGGGTCAAGACCCACCGCGCGGGCCCAGGAGGACCAACGGCTTAACGTGCCTTCCGAAGCACGGAGGAGCTCGAGATAGTAAATTTTTGGTCACCCATCCAATGACCGATCACTGCGAAAGTTGCTTAACTTCAACGATCGCAGCCGAACGCGCTAAACACTTGCGCCATCGAGCTCCTATGATGGTTTTGAACCATGAAAATCTTGAATATTTAATATCATAAATAAATAAAATATCCTGTATCTCTCGTCTGCGCACCAAAACTGATCGCTTTATACGATCCGTACGAGGATACGGACAAAGGATACGTGGTTATCCTTTCAATAGAGATAGAGATAGATAATCAAGAGTAATATTTGGTTTATGTATCGCCAAAACGGAGTAGAAATGATGCGTTTGGGATTGCGTACTCTGTGGCTGGCTACATAAATCGCTCAGGCCTGAATGAGTGACTGCCTCGAAAATCGTGGGATAGCGTGGCGTGGGCGCAAATTATTCCCGCCGTATATCATTTACTCGTCACGATGCGCGACAAAAACCTAAACGATGTAGCTGGAGAGAATTACACGATTATGTTTATCGGAAACGAGGAATTCAGCGAAACAATAAAATTACTTGCGATGTTTGTGTTGTTTAAATAAATTGCTTGAATATCCATTGGGGGATAAGTACTAGATAATAACACCAAGATGTCTTTCATGAAAAAAATAAATTATGACATAGTTTGCATATCACATACACTTGTGTCAATTCGCAAATATTGTTATGAGCGAATCAACCGCTGATATGATTGATTATATCAATTTTGATTCATTAACGATTTGATTTACACATTATTGCTAAAGGATTTAATTAGGTCATGGCGGCTTTGTTATTTTTACAGTTTTAACCGTCTCCTGCGTGTTGTAATACGGACAGAACTGATTCTATTATCACATTTTATGACATAAAATAAATAGTCGTTGACCGAGTGGCATACCCTGCGGGACCCCATTTTGACCCCAGTAAAGCGACACTGATATGTACGCAACTGTTTTTTTACATGTCTCTCCTGTGTAATTCATTGATAGTTTGCAAAAAAATATGCTATCTCGAATTTACAAATTAAGTACAATCCATGATACTATTAATCAAATGCTTTGTCTGTAAACAAATTCTTCTTTCTTCGTTATCGATTTCATCACTTAATTTTCATGATTACTGGTTTTCCAATCCTAAAGATTCATAGGTGGAATTTATATGACATATAATTTCTTTATCAATATTTGTTGAATTAGGTTGTAATTGAAGTTCCATGCACAGTGCACCAGTTTCTATACTTTCTATATACGATATGTATTTTTTGTGATGTGATATTTCATAGATGTGTAATTATCATGGTAACGCACTTTAATCGAATGATGCTGTATCTAAATCAAACATCCCAGTTATTGAAATATGTAAAAGATCAGTCTCATTCAAATTGAATATCAATCAATTAATGGACATTTACTATATCTAATAGTGGAACCCAGTGGTGGTAAACGGTGTGATGACAATATTGGTGCGGTTAGCAATTTATATTTAGCGGGTGTCGTGGCGCCGCGCCGCTATTTATACGCCGGTCACCGCTGACAGTGGTCCGTCCTCGGCCGCAGCACTTGTACTAGATGTTACAGAGCCGTACGCGTTATACACTAGAAGCATAAAATATCAAGATCGCCATTTGTCTCCATAAATATACATTTATGACATTACAGTCAAGGTAACTCGTATAACACTGCTACTGGGATAGAAGTTATGGAAAATGTAATTGTTCTGCTAATTTGTCTAAGCTAATAGTTCACGTTTATCAATGGAGTTGGTAATTTCAGAAGTTTAGGCGTGTATTTGGAGCCTTTTTTCTATTTTTGTTTCCGCGTAACTTCGAGTTGATCGATGTAATTTGTCGTCGTTGAGGGTAACTATGACATGAGGAGTTTACGGTTTATGTATAGAAGCTGCTAATGCAGGTTATGGGTGATCAAATCAATGTTATCTGGAATACAGGGCATGCAGCAGTGCGTACGTGCCGAAATGCACGACTGAAACATCTGGGTTAGTTGTGTCCTATTTATTCCATGGATATTTTGAAGCAAAAGTAAGAATATTTTTTGGAAACCTTTGCTATTTAGTACTTGCGAAATGGTGGGGCGTGAATAGGTGTGATATAATTAGAGAGATAATAAATATTTACATCAATATTTGTATCAAAAAGATAAAGCATAACTAGGGTTTGGTTAAATGAGGAGTGATATTTGTGTATTAAACGATGTCACGTTTCTAATTCGTGGTTGGGTTTAAAAGTTCTTAATGATAATGAGTGACAATAATATTAGAATGTCTATTAATACACTCACTGGCAAGTGTACGGGAGTAGAGTAACTTATCATTCATCGGCTCGCGGCAGATGTTCGGGGCTTGGCATTTGCCAAATTTGGGTATGATTTCTCAATTAGTACCAATGCTAGTTATACATCAATTAACGATTGTTTAAATAAATAAACTGAATCTCCCGCTGGATTAGACGAGAAGGCAAACAGTTGTAGACTCCCACGTAGTTCATAGAACTTTTGACAAGCATAGTTTTCGGATAAACTAGATTTTCCTAATGCCGAATTGTCTTTACTGGTTTTACTGATTATGTAGACATGTAGATTTTTTTTCTCTAGTAGTGAACATCATGATTGATGTTTTATTAATCCAGGAAAGACCGAGACATTAACGAAAACTGAAGGTCATAAACATCATTGTCAAAGTTGACAATGATGTTTATGACCTTCAGTTTTCGTCACAGAAATCTAAGAGTCAAATCTTTCAGAAAATTTAGTAACGCTCTCTAGAGTTATTGTTTCACAGTTTTGATCCGAATTTTCGTCGTTATGAGGGGCAAATGCATATCGATAACGATCGATTTGACGTCAACTTTGTTTGTTAGGTTTTTACGACATGACGAAACTTGTTTTATTTAATGCATCAACAGATTATGCGACCAGCTTTTTAAACTTGTTGTTATATAGGCTCATTAGTCACGTTTGTTCTATTTGCTTATGGGTCAATAGAAAATCAATAGAAGCAGTCATATCATTGCTTCATTACAGTGGCTTAGGGACTTATTGAACTTGTTTCGTTATCTTAACTTTGTCCTTACTTTAATGTGTAAACAACATGTAAATGTTATCAAAACCCAATTTCATAATGATTGGCCTAGAAAAAAATACCCCATGGTATTCCGTATGTGTGATAAAATGAAATTTAAAATTTACTTTGGCTGCACGCACTATAACGGAGTTACACGATAAGAACTAAATAATGGAAACCATAAAACGATAGGTGCCCTTATTGCACCTGGCGGGTGCGCGGCCATTCGGAGACGGGTTCCGCGACCACACCCGCCCTCTTGGCACGCACTACGGGACCGCGGTCCTCATAGTGCGTGTCGGGTGACGGTGCAGGAGTATTGTCTGGTTTTTAGTGGCCCTGTTCAGGGCGTAGGTAGGGCCCTGTTCACATCAGCGAGCTCCAGGGCTGGCTGAAGGGGACAGGGAGGAGTCCCACATACCTTCTTCTCGCTCCCCCAGTGGTTGACGGATACGTAAGGCATTTTCCAGACACAAGAAAAAGGTGCCCTTATTGCTAATGGAGCATTCTTTACATAAAATAGGTATACTTAATGTACTATTTTGTAATCATTATCAGTTTTTGTAATATCTCCGCTGTTGGGGCGGGACCTTCCTAATGCATGAATTAGAGAGATTACACCATGACCTCTGCAATGGTGACGAGTGGTTGGTGTTAACGTAACGACTGCAATCTATATACATAAAACTCAAAGGTGACTGACTGACTGACATAGCGATCTATCAACGTACAGCCCAAACCACTGGACGGATCATGCGGAAATTTGGCATGCAGGTAGATGTTATGACGTAGGCATCCGCTAAGAAAGGATTTTGATCAATTCTACCCCCAAGGGGATAAAATAGGGAATGAAAGTTTGTATGAAACTTTGTCAATTTTAAACCGATCGGGCTGAGACTTTGCATGCAGGTATAGGAAGAATCATAGATTAATGTCATTGTGTATAATACAAGCTTCAGCTCTACACCGAAGCGAAGTGAGGGCGGGCCGCTAATGATAACATAAATACCACAGAAAAATCAGCACTTAGGTGACAGTGTACGTGATTGGTCGGCTACGGCACGGTTACCGTAGCTACAGTGTCCACGATTTGTCGGATATGGTGTAACAGTGTACTTGATTGGTTGCAGGTCAATGGGAGAAGCTGCCCCTGTGGACGCTGGAGCGGGAGTTGGTTGTTCAGGACATCGCAGAGAAGGAGAGCATCAAGGTGCTGGAGAAGGCCACCGTGCCTATCGTCAAGATGACCGACAAGTACTCCGATGTTAAGGTATATTATTCCTTATCTTATATCATACTGAAGCTGTATTTGGACTTGCCGTAAGGAGCCATCCATAAATTACATACGACACATTTAAAGGGAAAAGTAATAAATAATAATAAATATTTCCAACACACACCAATTAGCCTAGCCCCAAAGTAAGCACTGTAAAGCTTGTGTTATGGGATACTAGGGTAACGGATAGAATACATATACTGTACATATATAAGTATATTTATATAGAAAATACATATTAAACATCCATGACTCCAATCCAACAACATGACTGGAGTACAAATGCTCGTATTCATCACACAAACATCTGCCCCCACCGGGATTTGAACCCGGAACCTCTCGAGTCGGCGACACCATGAAACCCGGCGTACAAACCACTCGGCCACGGAGGTCGTCATATAGAGTACATATATAAGAATATGTATATAGAAATACATATTAAACATCCAAGACTGGAGTACAAATGGTCGTATCCATCACACAAACATTTGGCCCCACCGGGAGAACCCGGGACCTCTGGAGTCGGCGACACCATGAAACCCGGCGTACAATCCACTCGACCACGGAGGTCGTTAAAAGTGAAACACCGTGCACCATCGGCTGTATACAGAAAGAAAGCTGGTAGCCTACCAGTGCTTATAGGAACTGGTCCGCGCAGGTAACGGGCGCAGGCATTTCTACGGACCAGCGCCGATAAGCGCCGGTACTTGTCGGCGGCGTTCGGTATACGGCCATACAGTCAGAATACCAGCGTTGCTGTGACATGTTTAGTTATATGTCACAGCAGCATTATGCTGATGCAGGGTTCTGATGGACCAATATTACAACTTAGTACGGTTTATTAATGTTTTATTATTCCGCTGTTTGTTAGTATTAGTGATGTAACGAATATTCGCACGAATATTCGAATGCATATTTTTGAATATCGTAATATTTATAGAGTCCATATAAAGTGGATTTTCATCATTATGTTGTGTATTTCGGTAAAAAAAAAAACAAATCAAAAGCTCTATTTTCAAGTTGCCGCGAAAAACGTATCTCTGGACAATATGGCGTCTCACTGGTGTGTGATGTCACACGACTATCATTAAAACGTCAAACCATACAATCAAATGTCACTTTAACCGGAAGTTTACTTGCATGTGACGTCAATTTAGGCTCCACCAATCCAAAGCGTTTTGGGTCACGTGACAATAGACAAGAAAACTATTATCTTTATCGTGGGTTTTTAGTAAAATTATGAATATTTTTTCTGTATAAATAGTAAAAATTGCCAATATTCATTCTAAATGCAGATGCTAACAATTGGCACTTTATTTTTAATACTTTTTTTAATATGAATATTGTAGCAGCGATTTTACTATTCGGGAAGAACAAAAAATTAAAGCGTTTTTAAGAAATCATTACAGAGAAACGATTTTTTTTCTATGGTCACGTGACCGAAAACGCCCGTGATTGGCGGAATCTAAAATCACGTCACATGCTAGTAAAGTTCCGGTCAAATTGATGTTACATTGTATCGTTTGACGTTTTAATGACAGTCGTGTGACATCACATAGCAGTGAGACGCCATAATCTCCAGAGAACCGTTTTCGCGGCAACTTGAATATGGAATTTTTCATTTAGTTTTTTTTAACTGAAATAAACAACAGAATGATGAATATCTTCTTTTTGGACTCCTTAAGTTAATAACATTTGGAGAGGCCTATGTCCAGCAGTGCACTATGATAGGCTGTTGATGATGATGAAGTTAATAATGTGACATCGTTTTCTAGAACTTTCTTGTCAAATACCCTATTGAAGGTTTCCAGTGCATTGTCTACAATAGTTTCTGATCTGCCCTCTCCGTTGATCAACTTTAAAGACAAATAATGCAAATACATTGTCTTGTAAAAACAAGACAATGTATTTGCATTATTTGTCTTTTTTTGACATTTGACAGTCAAAAGACTGTCATTCTAGCAGAGAGAGATGATGTAACATTACCTGATTGTTGGTCGACGTTTATCTATTTTATTTGTTCTCAGGTGGACATATCGTTCAACATGAGCAGCGGGGTGAAGAGCGCCGAGGTTATCAAGCAATTCAAGGTGAGTGCTCTGTGTTCAATGCGCCTGCGCCTGCGCCTGCGCCATGTAACTGTAAACAAATAATAATTAATAAAGTCCCATCATGTCACAAAAATTTATTGGTCCCAAACCAAGAAGAGCTTATAGGGTGGGAAATATCTGTAAGTTAAACAATAACAAATTAAAGAGAACATAAAAAAAGTGTGCACGGAGCACACATCTAAAATGAAACTTGTTTCTTAGAGCCGTTAGGCCGTATACAGAAAGAAAGCCGAAAGCCGATCGGCGCCGATCCTTCCTACATAAAGGAAGCCGATTAAAGCAGATCAAGCAAAATGTCGGACTCATCGGACGATGATTTGGTTTTGTTAGAAAATATTTATTTAAAAATGCGAAAAACAGCTATACATCCTATAAATAGAGAAAGGAAACGTTTCGGAGAATACCATCATTTATTTGTAAAAAAAAAAAAAATTGATGAACAAAGATTTTATACATATACAAGAATGATTCAAGAAACATTTTATTACATTTTGGATTTAGTGAAAAACCGTTTGATGAAAAATTGGGGCAATTGGCATAAACAACCAATCCTTCCAGAAGAAAGACTTGTTGTCACCATTCGGTAAGTACGAAACAAATAATTTTAGCGCTTAGTTAATAAAAGATAAAGTTATTAGATTTATAAAAAGATTATAACTTAGATTGATTTAATCTAAGGATAATAATTCAAATACAAATTATTTATTATTCGGACCAGCGCGTGTCGGCGCCGGTCCATAGAAAAAGGATCAGCGTCAATAGGCGCCGGCTTTCTTTCTGTATACGGCCTTACGCACTGTCGACAGGTCGCCGGCGACTCGGTCTCTCAGCGACCAAAACAAAGGCAACTAGAGACGGAGACCAAGCCGAGCGACAGTATTCCAAGTACATTCGATTTCCGCTCCTATTGGTCGCCTGCGACCGGCAGTCGCTTGTGAGTCGCCACTATGCGGCGAGTCGTCGAGTCGCCCGAGCGACCGACGACCAAGTGCGTATGCACCTATTTAAACTATAGTAAAGCACAGTCACCGTCGACCGAGTCGCCGGCGACCAGTCGACAGTGCGTAATAGCTCTTAAATAACCTTACATTAGGCGGTGCATAAGGCATAGTGGAATGGAGCAGCGCGCGCATCACTCATATATAGGTCGCGTGTGACGCTCGTAGCGTTTCAGCCTACGCCGAGTTACCCTCTTTTTTTCATGCTCGTCGGGGAGAGCTGCGCACGCATTCCCTACACACACTTGGTATAGATATACCTAGTCAGGTCATAAATTCTGTCACATGTTTTATATAAAATAATTGCAACAAGTTGATTCATTATGTAACCAATAATATACCAAAATGAACTTAACAAAACATAGATTCTTATGACAATAAAGTTTATTCAAAATGACTTCCGTGATTTTGAATACAGGCCTTCAATCTGCGCGGCCAGTCGTCTATCGCAGCACGAACGAGGTCCATGTCAATATCGGCGGCTGCCTTAACCAAGGATGTCTTGAGTGACTCCAAATTGGGATGAGGCTTTGAGCACGCCTTTTCCTCCAAGTGTTGCCATATCTTGTAATCTAACGGACTCAAATCTGGACTGGAGGAGGGCCATTCGGATATGCCCGACGCCCTCAGTCTTCATTTAACACCCTTTTCACCGTGGTTCTGCTTAACCCCATCTGAAGGGCCAACAGTTTCTGCTTACGTTTGGGATTTCTTTGAATTCGCGCCTTCACAGTTTTATCACTGCTGGAGTTTTAACAGACCGAGGCGAAGGCGACCACTTCTTGACCTGTCATCTACACTAGAGTCTTCATTGTATCGTTTGATGGTACGATAAACGAATCTTTTGGATATATTCAAATTTTTCAGTATGTCAAAAATTTGAATTGGCGCGTAACTGCAACACGGTCTTCTTTAAGCGTCCACTCCATATTTAAAAACTAGTAAAATTCTAAAAAGTATACATTTTTATTTTCATGAACAATTCGTAATTGGAATTCAATAAACTTTTTTGTGGCCAGCATTCTAAAAGTTTTTACTGTGCGACAATACTTGTGACCTGACTGTGTAGATATATTAAATTCGTGTGATGCTCGTGACGTATTTCCGTTTAATCTTTTCCATAGGATTTTTCCATTTGACGACCTCCATGGCCGAGTGGTTTGTACGCCGGGTTTCATGGCGTCTCCGACTCGAGAGGTCCCGGGTTCGAATCCCGGTGGGGGCAGATGTTTTGTGTGATGAACACGAGCATTTGTACTCCAGTCATGGATGTTTAAATATGTATTTCTATATAAATATAGTTATATATGTAAAGTATATGTATTCTATCCATTACCCTAGTATCCCATAACACAAGCCTTATAGTGCTTACTTTGGGGCTAGGCTAATTGGTGTGAGTATTGGAAATATTTATTTATTATTTATTTATTTATTTACACCCCGTCCGAAAAGGTTCGAAATGTTTACTTCAAAAATTGCGAATCTGAAACCTTACTAAACATCGAACCTAGGACCTTCAGAGCAGAAGGGAGTGCAGCCGGTGCTATTTCACTGTGCTTCCCTGTAAGGTTACATCCCCAACCGCTTGCCCTAATTAAATTAAATAAGTAGCTAAGTTCTACCTATTATATCACTTGAAGTTTCCCATCTGTACTTTTTTAAATATCCTGTTTAATTTGCGAATTTCATGGAATGCGAGATTGCGCGCAGTTTGATAACACACTGACATAACCTCATTACAATTACAATGTAACGAAAAGGAAATGATAACGGACGATTTGTGTTTTGGTGCTCATAAATTAAAGATAACAATTTGATAAAGAAAATATTATACTACTTTTACTTCCAAGTATAGCAGATCTGTTTATATATAGGTATTATAGATATATAAGATATGATCAGAAAGTACTTTTTAAGCGTGATCAAATAAATAATTATGTACTTTGTTTCTTTTAAAGTTTGCCCCATCCTTGTATGATTCCATCCAAGTACTTTAGTAGTATTAAATCTTAGATGAAAACATAAAGGGAAGATACGGCATTCGCGGCTCAAAAGTGATCCGCTTAAATTGTGGTCCACGACCATCATTCGCTTTAGTCACAATTTGACATTCAAACACGCTGCATCAATATAACAATATTGCGTATATTTTGTGTTATGAAGATATAACAAAGCCTTCGATGCTTTTATAAAGAACACAAATAGTTCAAAATCAAATGCCCGGCAACACTTTTCATTCGTGAAACTGTGAAAACATTTTTTTCTCATAATCACGGTTTGTCGTGAATATTATTTACGTAATCGCCATTTTGTAAGCAAGAAAAGGACAACAATACGCTGCGTTGAAGCGTAAAGTTCTGTCTCGTTCGCTCGATTAATGTTTTTAAACAGACGTGTGCGTGGCGAGAGTTGCTTATGTAGTTGAGTCGGATCATATTTTATTTGATGCTAGTATGAGCGTGCCGTATCTACCCTTTTTGTTTTAATCTAAGTATTAAATTAAAATTTCAAATTTTACGGCGGTATTGAGAAACGTCAAATAAAGAAGGACGGGCGGAATGGGACATTCCAAAACGACCAGACTTATGGCCCGATAACGAGTGTGAATAGAATTCGGGCAAATGACTAAGTGTAAATAAACGGAGTCGAGTATGCCCGTATTCGGGTAGATTTCCTTTTGTTTCCCCGACGCCGTCTTGCAGCCCGTATTACAATGTAAACATTGCTTCAAGTGCCGGAATTCGAGTAATCTCTTTCGTGCACCCGAAATCGGGCTAACGACCGAATGTAATTCGGCATTATGTCATCGGAAAGCCGTTTTCACCACTATTATTTGTTACCATTGGAGATAGTTTCAATTTGTTGAAATAAAATATTTTGTGATAATATTTGAGAAGGCATCGGTCGGGAACGTTTTATGGAAAAAAAATTAATGGGGCCCCCTTTGAGGTGCGCACCAACGCTCACCGCGCACTGCTCGAGTTGCCCGCCCTTCCTAGCCAAATTTTATAGAAGCCTCAGTTACTCGTTCCAAAATTGCACTTACTGCAGTTCTAGACAGAAATCAGAAATAAATCAATATATCTTTATTCATATTGGATGCATAGTACAACACTTTTGAATCGTCCAAACATTTCCCTACCACTCGTTATTGGACATATTTTTTAGCTGCGGAGAAAAACGAGCGAAAAAAACTCCACAACATTAAAAGCATAATGTAACAACATTTACAAATCATTATGTAGTTACAACGTCAATACAATCATGATTTATGAACAGTTCAAACCCAAGCATTTTTGTCTGTAATATAAGCAGACACTTTGTAATAGGCTTTTTTAATAAGTGCTTTTTTATACATCTTTGAATTTAAAGACTTTTAAGACAGACCAGTCTTTTAGAAGAAAGCAGAGAGACTTTGCTAGTAAACCTCTCGCTCCTACTTCTACCGCATACTACTACTGTCATGGTTTTCTCACTAGCTTTGTCTTCTTCTTTACCCAGGAGAAGTACCCGGTGCTCTCCCGCCTGGTGATGGTGCTGAAGCAGTTCCTGCTGCAGCGCGACCTGAACGAGGTGTTCACGGGAGGCATCTCCTCCTACTCCCTCATCCTCATGTGCATCAGCTTCCTGCAGCTCCATCCGAGGCCGGAGAGGCTGCGGCAGCCCCATAACTTGGGGGTGTTGCTCATAGAATTCTTCGAGCTGTACGGAAGAAAGTTTAATTATGTGAAGACTGCTATCCGAGTCAAGAATGGGGGCTCGTACGTCTCCAAAGATGAGATATCAAAGGTTAGTTACAGTTCTAGCACTGATTATGATTCATCTGAACTTCATGTGCATCGGCTTCCTGCAACTCGCATCTCAGGCCAGAGAGACAGCGACAGCTCCATAACCTGGGAGTGCTGTTTTTAAATATCCGAGTGAAGAATGACAGCTCGTATGTCTCCAAAGATGAATTACAAAATTTTAGTGACTATTTTTTATTCTTATATGGAATGTAGGTTTGACTATGTCAAGACTGCTATCTAAGTCAAGAATTGGGATTGTACATCTCCAAAGGTGAGATACAAATGGTTAGCTACAATGCTAATATTATTTGTAATTACAAAATCGTCTTGTGCAAATTATGATTCAAGTTCAAACATTTTCATCGTCAATCAGAAAAGTGTGGTTTGAAAAACAAAACGGGATATTTTATCTCTCTTTTGTAAGATTATACAGGGATAATTTAAGCAGTTCATAAAAGAAATTAATATTTAAATCAATTTTACATAAAACTAGTTTTAATGGATTAATGTACAAAACTTTTTTTATTTACTGGCGTTTCGCAGCCTTTTCAGGTCTGCATCGTCAGAATACTGATTTTTTATTTAATTTTCAATAAATAAATAAAGCTTCGTGCACTAACCCGTTAAAACTAGTGTTATTTAATGAGTGATGTGCGTGAAAACCTAAGACACAAATACCATTTTACATAATTATTATTGCTGGGAATTTAAAAACTGTATAGCAGATACTAAATAATAGCGCAGCCAGCAGACATTAATTAACATAATAATTAATTACTAACTGTCAAAAGCATTGAAATAAACCCATTCATTAACTTTTTCTTGTTGTAGTGAAACAGCTGCAAGATTGTTATTGTGTAGGAATGTGAACCTTGTCTTCACGAGATAGTGTGTTATCTTGCGCGAAGTTCCCCTTATCTTTTACGATTTAACTTTTATATAAACTGTACCCATATGATATGATAAGGTGATGATTTGCTTAATTTGTATTTCAATTATGATTTCATAACACAGGGAATGCGTAAATTGGTTATTATTTTATAAATTGGTATATTAACAGCCAAAGAGCAAGATAAGATACTACGAGATAGTAACACATTACTATCAAGCAATTTTGAGTGAAATTCTTAAATAAAACAAGTTTCAACGGTATAGATGCATTGATTTATTTATTTATGACGTTTCGCATCGTTTACAGGCTGCGTCATCAGAATTATGATTTTATTTTGAATAAAATTATAATTCTGACGACTACACAATTATGATTTTATTCTGATCATCGTATCCTTTTTAGGCTGCGTCGTCAGAATAGGGTATTTGACAAGTTTTAGAAAATGATCTCACGTTATTGACTAATGTTTATGGAGTCCGTAAAAAGTGGATATTCATCATTCTGTTGTGTATTTCAGTAAAAATAACCAAATCAAAAACTTCATTTTCAAGTAGCCGCGGAAACGTTTCTGTGGACAATATGGCGTCTTACTAGTGTGTGACGTCACACGAGTGTTATTAAAATGTCAAACGATACAATGTAATGTCACTTTAACCGGAAGTTTACTTGCGTGTGACGTCTTTTTAGGCTCCGCCAATCCCAAGCGGTTTGGGTCACGTGACAATAGATAAGAAAAATATTATCTTTTTCGTTAGTTTTTAGTAAAATAATGAATATTTTTGTTGTAAAAATAGTAAAAACCCCTGCCAATATTCATTCTAAACACCGATGCTAACAATTGGCACTTTATTTTTAACACTGTTAAATACCCTATTATGATTTTTATTTTCAATAAAATTATAATTCTGACGACTACACAATTATGATTTTATTCTGAATAATTTCATAATGCTGACGACGCAGCCTGAAAAGGATGCGAAACGTCATAAATAAATAAATCAGTGCATCTATACCGTTGAAACTTGTTTTATTTAATGACTGGTGTGTGTGAAACCATAAGAAACAAATATTAAAATTATAAATTATGTTGCAATATAGATTTAATACCCAAGACGGACTTTATTAAAATCACACAAAGCTTGTTCTTAAAATTACGAATACATCAAAAACAGTCATTTAAATCTGTCACGAGCGAAATCTCGATTCTTAATACATCTACCCCTCCCCCCGATGATATATGGTGATGATTTTTTAGAACCGCTTCCCTTTTTCAACTGCGCGTGGCCAACGTAAGATCCCACTGAATTTTCAAGCTATACTCGCAGCACAAATTATTCTTACCTAGCAACCGTCCGCGACGTCGTCCGCGCTAATTTTTTTAGGTATAAAAAGAATCCTATTTAAGAGACAAAGGATTCTATGTTTTTTTTACACAGGGACAGATCATCAGAGATCATCCAAATGCGTTCACTATTTTTTTTGTGTGATTGAATAACAAACGTACAAATTTCATTTATACCTAGTCTGGTCATAAATTCTGTCACATGTTTAATATAAAATAATTGAAACAAGCTTATTCATTATGTAACCATTTATCCAGTTGTGCAAATCCAACTTCGAGAAAGAGGTCAACCGACGAATCATAAATCTATAAACGAATCTATTGGTTATATTCAAATTTTTCAGTACCGAGTAACTGCGGGTTACTTTGACCTAAAATGTGCACTTTTTTTTTTCAAATAAAATTGCAGCTTCTCTTTGTGATGAATATGTCACGTTTATATCATTCCATTGTGAACTTTAAAGTATAAGTTACAAAGTTATCATACGAAAATAGGAAAAAATAATACTTAAGGGTTCATATATTTTTTTTTTAATTTTGGGCCAAAGTTGGCCTTAAAGAGGGAGGAGCTCGTTGAGTTTTCTCTGTGAAAAAAAAATCATTTTAAGCCATGTTGGGGTTAAGTAACCCTTATAACAGATCACCATTAGCATACTGAATACACAAATGGATGTTTTTACCCAAACATAATTAAGTTAAAGAAAAAATTATAAACATACCGAAAACCACAGTTTTGAGAAAGTTTGCGCATGAATTTGCGAACTATTTCAGTTACAAAAAATCCCGCGATACAATGACAACTTGATACAGGAACGATGTCGGTAAAATAACACCACACTACTCTCCTATATGGCTATCTGTGATTTTCAACTGGAACTATTACGGTCACCCAAGAGATACTGATGGGGCGGCAAGTTCAATATTTTTTCTGTTTTGGGACAAAGTTACCCGCCCGAGCTAAAGTCACCCTCACTTACGGTATGTCAAAAATTTGAATTGGCGCGTAACCGCAACGATGCAACGCAATAACTGCAACACGGTCTTCTTTAAGCGTCCACTCCATATTTAAAAATGAGTAAAATTCTAAAAAGTATGCATTTTAATTTTCATGAACAATTCCAAATTCGAATTCAATGAACTTTTTTGTGGCCAGCATTCTAAAAGAAAAGTTTTTACTGTGTGACAATACTTATGACCTGACTGTGTAATATAAGTAGAATTAACACATACTAGTTTTTTACGTCTTCCTATGATATGTATTAGATTCGTTGTGTTGTGTTTAGGAAATGAATGACGGCCACCGCCCTTCGCTGCTGTGCATAGAAGACCCGTTGACGCCAGGCAACGACATCGGACGCTCCAGCTACGGAGCGATACAAGTCAAACAGGTGATCTAAACTACCTTTAACATGCTTTGCTGCCCAAGAAATGCTTCATATTGCAGTTAAATGTTTAAGAAATAAAAAAATAACTGTAATTGTTATTTCTTCTTTCAAATGTTTAATACTTGCAAAGGTATTCGTTTGAAATTGTGGGTCACCTACAAAGCGTAAAGATGGCACTGCCTTGTAGCCTAAAACGCTAGAGAAAATTCGATACGGTCATCAGGGCCGCGGTAGCATAATTGGTCAGTGCGTTCGCCCGAATAGCGAAGAGGGCGGGTTCGAATCCCGTCTGCAGCCAAGTCCGCGTGGAATATTTTCTTTAAATTTAAACAACATATAAGCAGGTGCATGCTTAAAAAATTAAAATTATAACTTACTAGCGGCCCGCCATCGCTTCGCTTCGGTGTTGAGCTGAAGTGTAGACTACAGTTTTTGTTCTCAGGCTTGTATTTACACAATGACATTCATCTATGATTCTTCTTATGTCTGCATGCAAAATCTCAGCCCGATCGGTTTAAAATTGACAAAGTTTCATACCAAACTTTCATTCCCTATTTTATTACCTTGGAGGTAGAATTGATCAAAATCCTTCCTTAGCGGATGCCTACGTCATAACATCTACCAGCATGCCAAATTTCAGCCCGATCCGTCCAGTGGTTCGGGCTGTGCGTTGATAGATCACTATGTCAGTCAGTCAGTCAGTCAATCACTCAACCTTTGAGTTTTATATATATAGATAGATTCATCATCATTAACAGCCTATCTTAGTTCACTGTTGGACATAGGCCTCTCCATATGCACGCCACTCAGATCGATCTTGGGCTACTCGCATCCAGCTCCTGCCAGCCACCTTGCGCAAATCATCACTCCATCGCGCCTGAGGACGTATAGATAGATTATTGAAAGAATACTGAATCTTCCTCGTTATGTTTAACACAGGCATTTCACAGGCACATTTATTTTTACAATGCTCTAGCCCGCTGTTTCTACTATTCTTATGGTATGGTTTCTTTTAGCCAGAGGTTGCCTGGTAGAGATTGCTACCTTAGGAATAAGGCCGCCTTTTATGTTCTCTGGATTGTGTGTAATAGTGCAATAAAGAATATATTGATTGATTGATTCAGGCGTTCGACTACGGCTACATAATCCTTCAGCAAGCGGTGGGCGGCGCGATAGACGTGGGAGCGATCCGGCCCAGCGTGCTGGGCCGCGTGGTGCGCGTGACGGACCACGTGCTGCAGTACCGGCGCTGGGTGCGGGACACGTTCCAGCCGTACTTCTTCCCGCGTATGCCGGCGCAGGTGCACGTGGCCCACGTGCCCCACGCGACCCACGCGACCCACGCGCCCCACGTGACCGGTGTCTGCAACCATGCGCACGCGCCGGTCGCGCGATCGCCTTCGCCCTCGCCGACGGATAGCGAGGTTTGTGAAAAAATCTTAGCTATGAATTCTTTGACATTTAAGTACATTGAATTATATTACACGATATTTCAATTGTATGACTTTAAATGTAGAATATTAATTAATCACATAAATTCATTTTGTTTGACATTTGGTTTAGATTACTTTTTATATTATACACTCCCGGACACCTAAATCGAGCCACCTTGATTTTTTTTTGGTTTGGAGCACTGTTACTTATAAAAGATGTATGTAGAAGGAAAATGTTTTGATGCAGTTTTGGAGCTGGTAAACTCATCGTTCATTTAGAGTGCCATTGTTCTAAATTTGAGCTACAGTTTATTAAAAAAGTCGAGTTACGTTGAAACAAGTCCATATTTGCTTTTTTTAATCATAAAAAATCTAATCTATTTTTAAATAAAGACATGTTTTACATGAAAAGAAATGTTTATTTAGTAACTTGTATTGCCTCCCAGTGCATTTATGACAGCTCTCATACGGTTTGGCATAGAATTAATCAATGTCGTTATGACTTGTTGAGGAATGTCCTCCCATTCTTCCAAAATTACATTTTTGAGCTCCTGCATGGTTTGCGGGGCAGGATGATGAGCTCGAACACGCCTCTTCAGCTCATCCCATAGATGCTCTATAGGATTCATATCAGGACTTCGCGCTGGCCATCTCATAACAGTGATACCAATGTCATTTAAGTACTCCCTGACGATTCCTGCAGTATGGGCCCTTGCATTATCATGCATTAAAACGAAATCTTGACCAATAAATCCAGCATATGGCATCACGTGGTTCTCTAAACATTGGCGAATGTATCTATTGCCATCTAGGGGCGGCAGTCGTGGTCCCGTCACTACCTCTAGCTCAGTTTTGCCTTCCATAGAAATTCCTCCCCAGACTGTCCATGATCCTCCACCATAACTCACTTTCTCGTCAATACAGCATTGCGCGAAACGCTCGTTCTGTCTTCGGTACACCTTACTCCTTCCGTCATTACCGTATAACATTATCTTGGACTCATCTGTGAAGAGAACCTGGCTCCTTTGAAGTCGAGTCCAATTTAGATGTTCGCGCGCAAACTCTAGACGGGCTATTCGGTGTGCTCGTGTCAATTTGGGTAAATTGGCTGGCTTATGGAGCTTTAAACCACGTTCATTGAGTGGCCTTCTAACGGTCCGAGCACTTACAGCCACTCCGTGAAAGTCCCTGAGCTGTTCTTGTATCTGAACAGAGTTAAGGCGTCGATTTCGTAAGCTAGTAGTGACAATGTATTGATTTTGTCTCGCCGTTGTCACTCGGTAACGAGGTCCTCCTGTTCGCCGAACCAAGCCGCCAGTCTTCAGGTATCGGTGGTACACTCTTTGAACAGCGGAACGACTTATGTGAAGTTGTGAACTCACATCTCGCTGACTTAGCCCACATTGAAGAAGTGCTACATTTACGCGGCTACTTCAGGTGAACTATCCATAATTTTATAGCCAAAAACGGTTCAAATTATAGAAAAATAACTAAACTAAACTTTGGTTTACAACAATTGCGAAAATTTAACCCAAATCGCTTCAAAAGCAACTTCTTTATTTTAATTTCTAAAATTCAAATTTGTAATAATACATACGGGAAAGACGATGAAATATGCCAGCATTAAAAATGCATAAAAACTTTTTTGTTATATTGTATATTTTTTGTGTATTGGGCTTTTAGGCCCGGGAATGTAGGGTGGCTCGATTCAAGAGTCCGGAAGTGTATATAATACAATTTCAATATTTAAAAAATACACACTGATTGAATCCTAGAAATAATATATACTAACATAGCATTTAAGTTAAATATTGTTACTAACGATTTGATGGGCCATTTTGTTGTCTGTAATAAACAATTTGATAGACCTGAATAGGGGTGATGACGGGGTACAGTAAACGAAATTCTATTTAGTCCGTCAGTTAGATGATTAAAAAAATAATGGACACGTATTTTTTCTTTGGGCAATCAACTAAAAAATGACAAAGTCGTCGACGTCACTTTTTAGTGAATTTTCACTCATAAGTGTACTCAAACGTGACGTCATGCGACTTTTCAAATGAATATATCTCTGCAATGTTAAGTGAAAAAAGAAAAAATACGTGTCCAACACTTTTTGATAATCTACCTGATAAACGAAGGAACAAAAATTAGTCATCATCCCTATTATCCAAGTATTAGTTTTACGGAGGATAGTTTTCCACAACTCAACATGCAATCATCGTCATCGTCAGCCTATTAATGTACCCGCTGCTGGGGCACAGGTCTTCCCTATGGATGGAAAAGGGAGATTGGCCATGACCCCCCACGCGGGCCCAGTGCGGATTGGCGGGTGCTAACGACTGCAGATGCAGCCGGGGCCAACGGCTGAACGTGCCTTCCGAACCTCAGAGGAACTCGAGATAGAAAATTTTTGGTCACCTATCCAATAACCGACTACTGCAAAAGTTGCTTAACTTCAACGATCGCAGCCGAACGCGCTAGTCACCTGCGCCATCGAGCTCCTGTTACTTTAACTTTGACATAGAACATTTATTTGGTCAATACATAGTGGTATATTTAGATTTTTGACTATGTTTATTTTATAATTTTTATTATTTTTAAAGCATGTAACTGCTTGATGTTTAAATCTAAAGAAAATATAACTAGAAAAAATTCCACGCGGACCAGGCAGCAGACGGGACTCGAACCCGCACCCTTCGCAATCCGGGCGAATGCACTGACCAATTATGCTACCGCGGCCCTCACGGACCGCGTCGAAATTCTTTCTAGCTATTCTTAAGCTGCAAGGCAGCGCCATCTCTTCGCATTATAGGTAAACCCACAATTTTTTTCTAGTTATATTTTCTTTAGATTTAAACATCAAGCAGTTACATGCTTTAAAAATAATAAAAATTATAACTATTATTGCTATTTCTTCTTTCAAATGTTTAATACTTGTAAAAGTATTCATTTGACATTGTGGGTTTACCTATAATGCGAAGAGATGGCGCTGCCTTGCAGCTTAAGAATAGCTAGAAAGAATTTCGACGCGGTCCGTGAGGGCCGCGGTAGCATAATTGGTCAGTGCATTCGCCCGGATTGCGAAGGGTGCGGGTTCGAGTCCCGTCTGCTGCCTGGTCCGCGTGGAATTTTTTCTATGTTTATTTTGTTCTATGCATCGCAGTGACGGTGCGCATCTTAATTTAGCAACAAACGGGAAATAAAGATGCTGAATGTTTAGTTCTTTCTCTAGCACCTTATTCCTGACAAGAAGTGACATATCGTAGTGTGGGAAGGCCAAAGGGGGAGATCTTTCTCCGAGCTAGGTAATGTTAGCTCGGGGGCCGCGGCCCGAATGATGTTGGTCGGGCATCGTATATATGAAGAGTTAGCCTCCGAATTTCATTTGCGCGATGTAGGCTTCCATACTTATATTGATCGCATTGCAGGTAACGCCATCTCTCAAGGATGGTGAGTAATGATTTCCTCCATCTGTTGTATATCTGTGGGGCATATAGATGTCGCCGCCACAGTAGTTATCTCCACGTTTTTTATAACTTTGCGTCACGGGTTATTCCTCAGCCCCTGGGGTAGGCCAGGTCATTCACAGTCGGGCGGGGGAGTGGGGCAGACGATCGCACGCACCTCCCCTCCCCATCTAAGGCACTCGCGATCATACTTAATAGGCTGATGATGACGATGTGATTGTAAGTCCCTGTCACAAAAAAAATTGTGTGTGTCAGCTCCGACGCACGACTGGAGTTTACTCCTTAAGTTCGATAGTCTAACCAGACGCAAATAGAGTTTATTTAACTTAAAAAAGAATAATGTCAATCCGTCATCTTTGTTTGTCAAAGTTGCGCGACATAGGATGCGCACCAAAAACGTAACGAGGTCATTCATCGATAGATTTCACTCCTCACATTTTTCTCATACCGGGCCCCTTATATATGCAAATCGATTCTTAAGGAGTAAACTCCAAAAGCCACGATAAACATTCCGTTTCTTCGCGAGAGTTATGAACTATAGTACTTAAACTCAGTATTGCGTTCTATAAGCTCTGGTTTTTATCCACCAGGAATGGTCGGACAGCGGCTCTCGCGCCACGGGCTCCCCCTCAGCCCCCGGGGCAGGGTCCTGCCAGACCACGGGCCCGGGGCCGGGGCCGGGCGCGGGCCCGACACAGACCCAGAGCGGGCCACAATCGGGCCCGGCCCGCACGTCCCCTCCCCCCCTGTCGGCGCTGCAGTGCTCCTCCCCCACGCCGCGCCGCGTGTCCGCACACCAGAGCCTCATCATACACCACATCACCAGCAACTCCGACTTCAATAACATACCCTCAGGTGAGTAAACATCTCTTATCTATTAGACAAGTCCGTCCGTCCGTGGTGCTGTTTCAGCGGCCAAACCGTGAGAGATAGATAAAGAGAATGTTTAAGTTATAAGTTGAGAATAGTCTGATAAGACTTCAAACCCGATGTGAGTAACGTAGCACTTCCGGTTTTCGAGAAATCACGTGGTTTCTATTTCAAACGAAACCACACAAAATCTCCGAAGTTCTCAATTAATTAAATACATTTTTTTTTTTTGGTGAACATTTGGTTCACTGGTTTGCTAGTATAACATATATTGAAGAAGCATTTTTGCAGGCCGGCAAGGTGCGGATGGTTGGTGTAGCAGTTTATAACTGCTGTACCAGCTATCTTCGCGTTTGGACTTTATTACCACTTAACATCAGGTGGGGTAGAGTCATTTGCCTACCTTAATATAAAAAAAAAATTACTAGCTGACCCAGCGAACTTCGTACCGCGATAAAAAAATAGGGGTTGGTGGTAGAAGGGTGAAAATTTAGGATTGTATGTAGATATTTGTGTATGATGTATCAGAAAAAATTAAAAAAAAAAAATATCTAAAATTGAAAAAAAAAAAATTATGGGATGGATTACCCTTAACATTTAGGGGGATGAAATATAGATGTTGTCCGATTCTCAGACCTACCCAATATGCACACAAAATTTCATGAGAATCGGGAAAGCCTTTTCGGAGGAGTTTAACCACAAACACCGCGACACGAGAATTTTGTATATTAGATTATACCCTCGAAACACTACTCTACTCACTACTCCACCAAAAACCTCGGTGTACCAGAAAAGGGTATACAATAGAATAGGGTATTTGACAGTATTAAAAATACAGTGCCGATTGTTAGCATCTGTATTTAGAATGAATATTGGCAGGAGATTTTACTATTTTTACAAAAAAAAAAATTCATTATTTTACGTGACCCAAAACGCTTGGGATTGGTGGAGCCTAAAATGACGTCACACGCAAGAAAACTTCCGGTTAAAGTGACATTTGATTGTATGGTTTGACGTTTTAATGACAGTCGTGTGACGTCACAAACCAGTAAGACGCCATATTGTCTAGAGATACGTTATTCGCGGCAACTTGAAAATACAGTTTTTGATTTGGTGTTTTTACCGAAATACACAACATAATGATGACAAGTTTTAGAAAACGATCTCACGTTATTGACTAATGTTCATGGAGGCCGTAAAAAGTGAATATTCATCATTCTGTTGTGTATTTCAGAAAAGTAACCAAATCAAAAACTCTATTTTCAAGCTGCCGCGAAAACGTACCTGGGGACAATATGGCGTCTTACTAGCGTGAACATTGACGTCACACGACTGTTATTAAAACGTCAAACGATATTTTAGACACCGCCAATCCCTAGCGTTTTGGGTCACGTGACAATAGATAAGAAAACTAATATCTTTTTCGAGGGTTCTTAGTATAATTATGAATATATATTTTTTGTAAATATAGTAATAACCCCTGCCAATATTCAATCTAAACACAGATGCTAACAATTGAAATTTTATTTTTAATAGGTACTGTCAAATACCCTATTAGCGTTTTACGCATGATTGGAGGAGGGGCGCATATTTCATTTTAGACAGCCTGTTTTTGTAGTCAAAATGACGTGTTAGGCATTGTAGTGACATCAGCTCGTGACCTAATGAATCTTAGTCGATTATCATTTTACGCATGATTGGAGGAGGGGCGCATATTTCATTTTAGACAGCCTGTTTTTGTAGTCAAAATGACGTGTTAGGCATTGTAGTGACATCAGGGGGCCAATCGTCTAACGGAAATGCTTTGGAAATTCTAACGCTTACGATTTTATTTTGTTATTGCTAGCCGCCTGAGGTATTCAAATGCCTCGCGCTCTTTCTTTTTCTTTTGCATTGGTAATAATGATATTAAAAAAAAAAAAATGGTTGCCTGTAAAGTCGGTTTTACGGGCGAAGATTTTACGTGACAACGTCTTTTTCTCGGTAGAATATTTATTGATATGAATATAATTAAATTGCACAATAGGAACAAGGAATTGAATGAAAATAAGAATTGCACAAATTTTAACTATAGAAATATATTTTGTTTACTAAAACATTGTACATGTAAACTTAAACTTAACACGAGAGACTCATCGTAACGTTACCGAGCGTTACACTTTTTCATAAGTGACTCCCAGCCGCAACCTAATTTAAGACGTTGTCACGTCAAAATGAGCGTGAGGTATTCGAAAACCTCAGGCGGCTAGAAATAACAATATAAAATCGTAAGCGTTACCGTTTCCCAAAGCATTTCCGTTAGGCGATTGGCCCCCAGCTCGTTACCTAATGAATCTTAGTCGACTATCGTTTTACGCATGATTGGAGGAGGGGCATCTTTCATCAGCTATGAATAATGAATCCAGCTAATGAATTCTCCCATTATAGGCGTAATCCAACGCTACGGCGGTGAGCAGAAGCGGCCCACCACCACGCCCCGCTCGTTCCCGAAGCAGCGCCGGCACCACTCCCCCGCCGGCCCGCCGCCGCGACGGGTCGCGCCCGGCGACAAGCATCGCCGGCGCCGGCCCCAGCAGGAACACATCGCGCATGCGCAACGATGATACGCTCCGCGCCGACACGGTATACTAACACAAACTAAGCTAACATAAAAACCGGTCACCCGACACTCTAGGCTTCTACCCTCCCCCGGTAAGCTGAGATCGACACCGATGAATATTCTAGAATGGCTAGCCATAAAATTTATGAAATTCTTAAGGTATCAAAATTGACAATTTCAATTAAAGAAAAAATTGTGGGTCGGTCGATGACAAAGAAGATTGAGTTGGTAATGGTGTCGATTCTGGCGTGATTCTCTAAACTTAAAACTAAATTTAACATCGGTCTCTCCTTTTTATTCTGTATAAAGAATGAAAAGGATGCACAGTTGTCAAATTTAAGTTTAGCTTTAGAGAATCATGCCAGAATCGACATCAATAATCACTTAAACTTATAATATATATAATAGACCATATAATATCCAAATTCTTATTTCTTTTTGTTTTGTTTATGTTCATTATGATACCAAAAATTGTTTCTTTTTTCTCTCATGTTTATTAGACACTATGTGAGATAATTAATAGTGGAAATTACCTAGGCAATTGTTTAAACTAATGTTATATTTTTTATGTAAAAATTAATGCTGTTATTTCCCTAAAAATAAATAAATAAATTGGAAACCCTTCAGCGGGCCGGATGTGGCCCGCGGGCCGTGCTTTGCCCAGCACTGTTCTAGACTCTAAAGCCCGTATTACAGAAAGATTCTCAGTGATTGATCTAGTCTTGAGCATAGTTAGAAAGGGATGTCGCTAGGTGCTATACAAAGCGACATCCCTTTCTAACTGTACGCAAAGTAAAGATCGACACTTAGTTGACATTTTGTAATACGAGTCTTAAGCCTGTATTATAGAAAGATTCTCGGTGGTTGATCTAGTCTTGAGCATAGTTAGAAAGGGATGTCGTTATATATAGCACATAGCGACATCCCTTTCTAACTGTACGCAAAGTAAAGATCAAGACTTAGATGTCATTCTGTAATACGCGCCTAAGGATCGTATTACAGTACCCTTGGTACGAGTTCGAGCTCACGAAAACTATCATAGTTTTCGTAATTGTAAAACTCGTACTAATAGTTCACAGTTACACAGTTAAAAAGGGATGTCGCTATGTGCTATACAAAGCGACATCCCTTTCTAACTGTACTTAAGTAAAGATCAATCTGTAATACGAGCCTAAGTCCAAAAGTTTCTTCGGATAGACTTAACATTGCGCCGCTAAACTAACATCTAAGAAAATGATAATACACCGGGAGTTTGGCGTAGAAAGCTGAAAGTTACCTATGAGTCTTGTACGTGGACTCTGCCACAGTAATCTGAGATTGACACCGCTGTATGTTCAAGGCTTTAAGTCCGAAAGAAGATTTTTTTTGTGACTAAAGTTAATCCCGGTCTAAAGATATGCGGTCGCTTAAATTTGTAAAAAAAGAGAGCGTTCTGTTTAAACCGAAACTAAATTTGGTCCACAATCAGTAAAAAGGCAGTAAAAGTTTATATAACTCGTGTCATCAAAGAAGGGAATCGAAAATGCTGCCGGAAGTCATTCTGCCTCTCTCGCACTGTTACTGAGGGTAGCATGTGCGAGAGGGACAGCATGTCTGACGTCATCCTCTTTAATGACACGAATTGTGCCAGTGAGATCCAAACGTTGTCGACAATTATAATTTACATCACTCAATTGTTTCTTTAATAGACTCAACTAACACGTAACTTTTTTGACATTTTAGTTTTTACATTGCCTACTTTTTTTTGTTGATTATATCGTACCCGATAACTAGCTTATTAATTAGCTAGGATTTCTTACTGCTGCAGCAAAGAAATCCGACGAGGGAAGAACCTCCGTTTTTGAATTCTTAAAATGGGTTGCTAATATAAAATTTACATCAACCTAATGTCAATAAAGTTACGTGATAAAACAACATTACTTAAATGTATTTATAACTTAATGGTTCCAATACGTATGAATGTTCAATATATTAAGTTGTCAAAGCTTACTATCCATAACAATAACTCGTAAGTATCAAATGTACTAGATGTTAATAGAACAACAATATAAAGTATATTTCAAATCGATTATACCAGATTTGGACCCTAGTATTAATCTTATTTAATAGAAATCATAATTTAACATGAATTCAAATAATCCGGCAAATTCTCTAGATTGTCCAAAGGATTATATCAGTCCATCGTTCATTTGAACCGAATTAAAACGACTTTGGAACTTCAGACCTTAGGAATTGGTTACATATTAGCTTACTGTGGGGTAGGATACGTGTGGGTATGGTGTCGAATCGAGTGTTCATTGATCGAGTGAGTGATAGAGGACTCTGGTGAGGTCACGTACACTGGTACTCAAACTATATAATTTATATAATATACAGAACTCATTACTTTATTTTTCTATATAAATAACCAGTAAAGTTACAAAAAAATATATAAATAATATAGTGTGGACGAATGAAAGACCCAGTGAGGTTTGGCCTGCGAACAATGTATACTTTGGGGTTATCATTGTAAAAGATATATAATATAACAGGTACATAAGTATGTTAAAATCCTCTAACCTATCACAATTTGGAATAATGTTGTACTTGTAATATTATATTTATACTCATAGGACTTGTAACATCTGAACTACAACCAAATATACATTAACACATGACACGTCAACAAGTATTAAAAATAAAGTTAAAAATCTACAAAACTGCGAGGGATGTGTAGATGATTAATATACAGCGTGTTTTTAAAATATCTGTTGTATTAAAAATGAATTTTGTTTATCAGTTTGTTGAACTTATGAAAGTTCTCTGTATGAACAGAGAGTTACAAAATGCATTGAAATTTCAAAATTTAATGGTTTTGTATGAGGAATTAATTTGACAGTGGAAAATCAAAATCGTTTATACGCCACTTTGGTCTAATTATATTGTTTAAATTAGTTTTTTTGTTAGTCCCACTATGTTTCGGAAAGATTTGAGCAGTTTATTTGGTGCTTAAGCGATTCTATTTTTAGTTATTTTTTTTAGTTCATAACTTTACAGCGACGTACATTTTTGTGCTTTATGAACCAATGTCGCTTACGCCTTACTAGTTGGCGTATGATTTGATGTTTTGACAAGAAATCTATGGCAGACAGTCGCCTTATTTTTAAAGGCACTAATTTTTGAATAAAAGGCTATTTAGAAAACGTTTTTTAAATCCTCATATTTTTTTGAGAAATAAATATATCCGAGATTCTGTAAAGTGGCCTTTAAACGATTTCGCTTATCCACTGTCGATACAATATTCCTTTTGCCTTCTTTAAATAATTACAATTGTTTTTAAAAGAAACCACTTTTACATACTGCAATAAAGTATGCCGAAAAAGGCGATTCTGGTTAGAAAACAGTAATTTCTCGTTCCAGATTTTGAAGAAACGAAATGCGTAGGCTTATCGTCTATGTTGTAGTTCTTGTTGCGAGCGAATTGCGAGAAACGACCAATCTGATACATGACTAGAAGTTGTGAATACTTAACTTTGTGCAACTTCATTATATTCGAATAGATGTAGAATACTTAGAGATTGTAACGATTCGTAGTTCGCTTAGGACTTGGACCCAAAAGCATACAGAATTGAAAGGACAAAGAATATATCAAATATATATATATATATATATATTTGTATGGAATGTTAGTTTGTTGTATATATGTAAATATGAGTGTTATTTATGTCGTGATGACTGGTGAGAGTGAGAGATGGCTGAAACGGTGAGGTATTGTACGCTCGCGTCTTTTGGCGATCAGTTAAATGTTATTCAATAGGTATGATGACGGGGTACAGTAAACGAAATTCTAATCAGTCCGTCAGTTAGATGATCAAAAAATAATGGACACGTATTTTTTCTTTGGGCAATCAAACAAAAAATGACAAAGTTATAGCGCGTCAAAGTTTGGGAGTACTCGTGACGTCACTTTTGAGTGAATTTTCACTAATAAGTGTACTCAAACGTGACGTCACGAGCCCCTACTCCCAAACTTTGAGGCGCTATAACTTTGTTATTTTTTGGTTGATTGCCCAAAGAAAAAATACGTGTCCATTATTTTTTGATAATCTACCTGATAAACGAAGAAAAAAAAATTAGTCATCATCCCTATTGGAAATGTAGTTAACAAAGGTACATCCTGTATCTTCACCATTGGCTTACATAAGCAAGTACAGTGTTGAGATGGTGAGATTGCCTATAGCGCTGTCTCCTTCGACAATACTGATTTAGTGATGACCAAAATTGCCAGTGAAGTTTGATCCAACTAAAGAAATTGGTATACGATAATAGGCCTAATTGGTTAGTATGACAGTGCCATCTTGATTGCTTTCTGGTAATTTTGAAAAGAACGACAGTTGTCTTGGATTGAAACAACTTTAGAAAGCATACGCGACAAATTTTGGTATTCCAACTGCACATGAAATAGTAAATTATCTAGCATATTTGTGACAAATAAAAGCGACTTGTAAATACTGTACCCATAGAAAGAGTATTCGTTAACCAAATAATAATAATTCGTAAAAGAGTCTAATCAATAAGTAGTATTACAAAATGATATCAGAGCGAAATATAAGCAAACTTATCGGGAGGATTTTTTAAACTACATTGTATAGTTGATATTTAAACTTAACGCTAAGAATTAAAGAAAATATTACTAGAAAATCGACGCGGTTCAGACAGCAGACGGGACTCGAACCCGCTAGCGCTACCGCGGGCCTTACTTAGCATAATGATCAGTGAATTCGCCCGGATAGCGAAATGTGCGGGTTCGAGTCCCGTCTGCTGCCTGGTCCGCGTGATATTTTTTCTAGTAAAACTTTCTTAGATTTAAACATCTAGCAGTTAAATGCTTAAAAAGAATAACAAATATAACTAAGAATTAAAGTATAGAATAGTTGACACATTTTATTCCTTCAAAATATCTTTCACTACAGCCACTAAGAGACATATTTTTTTAGTTAAATGTTAGAGTAAGTGGAGGTTGCCGTCTTCCCCACAGAGACACCAGACGAAATGTTCAATGCATATCTTATGCTTATTCTGTAAGTCTTAAAGGTCAATGTGTGTTTAGGCTCGTTTAGATGTGTGTAGACTAACTGTAGCCCGCGGTTTCGACGCGACAAATGTCTAACCAACGTTCTATGTAATGTTATTTTAAAGTTTAATGGTTTTGAGTCTTACCGATAATTGGAAAATTGCAGTGTCTGAATAGTTATTATGATACAAGTGCAGTAAGTTGGTTATTGAAAACGAGTAAGTAGTTCGTCTCGGGTTGACCATAGTCACTAATGTCATACAACGCTTTTCAACACATTTGCGAGAAAACATTATACATAATTTAAGTAAAGAAGCAAATTTTTTCTAATAACAAAATGGCGCGCCTTTTCAAATGGCGCCGCGTGCTGATGGTAAAAATTAGAACTACATCTTTGGTCTCTTTTTATTTTTAGTATGTGAGACATAGGTATAGACTAAAAGCGATGCCGAGGAGGTTCTGTCGAAATTAAAAAAAAATTGTGTGGGTCAGCTCCGTCGCACGACTGGAGTTTACTCCTTAAGTTCGATAGTCTAACCAGACGCAAAAAG